CCAACTGCTTTAGATCATTAAACTCCTCCCGTGTAGCTTTGGGCTGATCCACCACCTTTCTCATGATCATGCTCACCCCATGAGGCAACGTCTTGCACTGAGCAGCAGACCCAGGGCGGCTGATGGTCCTTACGTATTCTTTCAGGCCTCATCAGAGGAAGAGAGACAGTTTCCTTGTGCTGCTTTGCCCACCAGAGAGAAGTTGATCTTTGGGAGCTTCATTCCTGGGCTCCTTTCGGTCAGACTTGTCGGGGCTGGATTGATCTCCATGCCCACTTGTGTTTACCACCTGGGCGGTCATCTGAAAGCGTGGAAACCCGTGCAGCTTACACCATCGTCCGTACTCTGTTCCAGGCTCCTCTACACCTGTGCTGGTGGGACGCAACGTTTAAATGATGATAATGATAAAAAGCAGTGCTCCACTGAGACCGCTCTCTTGAAGGTCTAATGATCTAATTTTTTGGCTAGTGCATCTGGCTCTGCCTTGGTTTTCTTCCTGTTTATAGGACCTCTCCTAGAACAGACAGGTTGTCCTCCAACATTGCCTTCATAAGTGGGAACGGGGTTCCGCACGGTTCAGTTTTAGGTCCACCACTATTTTCTTTCTACATGGCTCCTTTACCTGGCATTATTCAATCTTTCAGTGACATTTCTTATCATCTCTATGCCAGTGACATTCAGCTGTATGTCGTTTAAGCCTCATCAGCTGGATAGGTTGTCCACCCTAGTCCACTGCTTAACTGGTGCTACTGATTGGCTCTCTGGCATTTACCTTGTTTTAAACACCAAAAAGACTGAGGCCGTGATCATAGCTCCTCCTGAACTCGATTCTAAAATCAGTCAGGTTTTTGCTTCTTTCTGTCCTGCTGCCAAGTCAAACATTTGAAATCTTGGTGTAATATCTGATTCTTCTCTGGGCCTCGACTTGCGTGTAAAATCGTTGTCTTGTTCCCGTTTCTTTTATTTAAGGAACATTTTCTGAACTGCGACATATGGTCTCCTTAGCTGAACTGGAAAAAAATGTTCATACATTTGTGTCATTGCGTTTAGGTTGTAATGCCCTGTTTACCAGCTTGGGCAAATAGTCTTTTTCTCGCCAAGCTATACAAAATGCTGTGGCCAGACTATTAACAAGGTCTAGCAATCGAGCTCACATTACTCCCATTTTAGATTCATTATATTGGCTCCCAAATAAAGTTTGAAAGTTCTTGTCTTAGCATACAGAGCGCTAAATGGCCAGGCCCCAGATTATTTATCCAAGCTTCTTACAAAATATTCTGTTCACAGACTCAGTTTGTCGGTTGTTCCCTGAACACGACTAAATCCTAAAATCCACAGAGCCTTCCAGTCTGTGGGACAGCCCACCACCACAACTACGTTTGGTTGGCTCTGTGGATTCTTTTAAAAAGCGGTTAAAAACTTTTCTATTCAAACAGGCTTTGTGTTAAGAATTTGTTTCATTTTAAAACTAAAACTTTTTAAACTGTTAATTTTTGTGTTTTATTTAATCATTCGTATTGTCTGTTTCGGCACCTAATGTTCTCGATTATTTTAGCCTTTTGTGTAGAGCTTTTTGTGGCTGCCTGTGAAAAGTGCTCTATAAACAACCTACAGTTGTCACCATTCCAGTGTCTGCAGGTCTACGTTCCAGCTGTTGAGCCTTCGTCTTGTCCACAGCAGAGAGGCTGGTTAACGTCTTCAACACTACACTATCTGTCCTGCTGAGGAGAGGACAGGCTTTAATCCACAGCTCATAATTTGCAAAACTCAGTACAAATCAGCAGAATGGATACTGACTGTGAAAAGCATCACAGTGGACTGGAGGGGCTGTGGGGAGTGGACCTCCTTTTCCACTTAAAGCAATCTCAAAAACTCAGAATGAAACAAACGCTCGTGTTGCTGACCGTGGTAACAATTATTCTAATTAGTTTTAATTTTTCCAGGTTTTGATGTGCTTTGTTTAAACTTCAAATAAATAAATGATTTTTTAAAGATGGCATTGCACTCCAAGAGAACATTTCAATAACAGTGGTCTCCATTTCAACACCTGGTATATTGTAAGACACTGATGGTTTACAAATAAATGTATACCGTTCATATTTACATTCAACTTTTAAAAAGTTTGCTGTTTTTAAACTTGCTATCAACAGCTCATCAGGAATGAGATGAAATACTTTCACTGTGACCAAAAACACGAACAAAAAAAAAATAGTAAATTACAATTTAGGTTAGTCAAGTTAAAAGTGTCAAAATTCAGATTAATACTAAAGATATCGTTTTGTTGTACAAAAGAGCACATTTCATTTATTAACCAACATCAATTAAAAAGTGTAGACAGAAAAGCATGAATAAGACTTTATGCCAGGATCCAAAGATTATATCGAAACAGAGCAAAGAACAGATGTTAATGAGCTTTTCCACATTGGTCCCTTTTGCACTGCAGAGTTAAGAGTTCTGACGTCTCACTCGCCAGGTGGACATTTTACACAGGACTGCTGGAAGGCTTCTTACTACTATGTTAAGGACCATCTCACTATTATGCAGAAATGACTGTCTCTACTGTGTCTGTGGGAGAAATGATGTGAAGTACAAGTAGGATTCTCAAGTTAATAAATGAACATAATGGAAACATAATGCAATAGAATCTGGTGCTAAAACTATTGTTTTTAATAAAAACAGCCCCTTTTTTGAAATGTGCATGACCCTGCTCATCATTTAGCCTGTACAGACACTGATCTGGGTTCAGTGCTTGCAGCTTGAAGGCGGATGATCTAAGAGCGCTTTTCAGAGAGACGGGAATTCCAGTAACACTCGTGAAACCTTTCACCTTTCCACGTGGATCACAATCATTTCCACAAACAGACAAAGCCAAACCTGGATGTCACATTTCCCCCTCATGCTTCTGTGAGGTTTTGACCTTACACCCGTCCTGTAATGTAGCGGGTGTAAGGCACAGGTTTTTACTGACATGCAGTTCTCTGCTGGTTTTCGTTTCATATGTAAATCATCAGCTGATGGACGTCTTTAGCGGGTCAAAGTTTCCCTTACACACCTAAAAACACAGAACATTAAAAGTCCCAGTATTTATAGAGACCAACACTTCACAGTGAGTGACCAGTCCGGCCAACAGCAGCAGGGAATGTCTCAGATGTCGTGGAGAACTTTGTGGCGTTACCCTAATAATGTTTAAGTCTCATAACCACTCCTCCCAGCTGCTCACATGTGGACGTGATGTCACAGTGACGTTAGATCCTGTACCTCCAGCAGCATGGCGTCCTGCTCCGTCCTCAGCTGGTCTCGGACCTGGAGGCGACCCACCAGCTCTGAGCTCAGATCTAACACGGATGAAAAGTTAACCATTAAAATTCACTCTTCAATGCATCAGAGAAAACGGCGCTTTTATTTTTAAACGACGGGGCTAAGGTTATATAGTACCTTGTATAGCCTGGCTGAGAGACGCACAGAGAGCATTCAGCTCCTTGATAGTGAAGCCCTGCAGATCGCTGTGCTCCAAATGTCTCCTCTGGTTTACAGGATCACTCCGCGCTGTGGTCTGAGGAGAGTTTACACATCTTTTAATGAAACAAATCATGATTAACAGCCAAACAAAGAAAAACAAAAATATTACTGCACATATTCACGACCTCGTCCCCCCACAGACAGACAACATTTCAAAATCTGACAACAAGCAAATCGGTGTCGACTTCCCTAAACAGAGATGAAATGCCACACATCTGCCACAGTGTTATAACAGGTACAAGCAGACACGCGACCCTTGAACATAAGTTTAACATCTGTATTTAATTATACGACGGTGCCAAATCACAATAACAGTTGCCTTAATGCACTTTACCTAAATCAGCACAGAGAAAACAGAAGTCCTCCTGTGAGCAAGCGCTTTGGTGACAGTGGGAGGGAAACACCTCCGTCACACCCAGGCTCAGGGAGGGCGCCATCTGCTGGGAGGAGGAAGAAGACGGGGCCGTTCCTTTCATTTTGTTCCCAACAAATGGGAAAATTGACCGGGCAAATCCGATTGAAGTGCTGCACTGTACTTGGGGCCATAAAATGAAAAGTGTCATCCAAAAACCCACAAATGTTGGAAGGTTTCCTTAGCAAAACACAGAGTGACCCTCTACTCTTTAGTCCATATGTGCCACATGTCTGTATGTGGCCATGGGCCCACCCTCCGCTGGAGCCTCCACTGAAGATCCACACTGCATTTCTCTGGGGGATGTTTGCACAAGAACCTGGTGCAAGAGCACCACACCACCTCACCTCTCGAAAAACACAGAGTCTCTTGGTTTTGTTGAGAACTTTCATGCTTACAGGATGTAAGGATTTGTTATCGCTGATGTTTTAAAAGAGAATTATTTCTTCCTCCTCCTCCTGTGCAAAATCAGCGCAAACTACTGGCTGAGACCCTCCAGGACCTACAGCTGATGCTCACTAACAGAAGCCAGGAAGAGCAGCCCCCACATGCTCCACCAGAATGACACCCATCGACCTGAGGATGGCAGCAGATTTCTACTGCCCTCCCAGTCACAACCCTGTCAGCTTTGGCAGCCCAGACGTTGCTAATACTGCTCAAGCTAGTAGAACCAAGCAGTTTTAGTCCATAACTGTGGATTGTGTATGTGGAGCTCAACATCATCAGAAGAAAACTTAGCATTGATACAGTCATCAATAAAGCTCCTGCTCCTGATACAGACTTGGGGAAAAGACGCTGAGCAGCAACATACATTCAAAGAGACCAACTTATGGTCAATGAAAACAACTTCGATTGTGTCCAGATGGTGAAGTGACGGCCAATTTAATAGCAGAAGTTATGAAGTTAAGATCCGAGGTGCACAGAGAAATGAGCAGTCTGTGGGACTGTGAGACTGACGCTGCCGTGTCTCAGAGATGAACATAATATCAGGCTTCTCTGCACAGAACAATCATGTAAGATATAAGACTTGTTGGCAGTTTGGTGAGGCCCACGGGGACAGGTGCAGAGGGGCCTGGAGTCCCGACTTTGGGCTACGTTGCACAGCAAATCCTACCATGATGAGCCGTGGCTTTCCACGCTTTCACATGACTGCCCAAGGTGGCAAACACAAGTGGGCATGGAGATCAATCCAGCCCCACAAGTCTCAGGCGAATCTGACCGGCGACACACCAGGAGTGAAGCTCCCAAAGATCCTCTTCCTCTCTCCAAGGCTGACGAAGCAGCGCAAGAAAACCGGCGCTCTTCCCGCACTTCCACCGATGAGGCCTCCGAATCAAAAACGAGATGACCGGCAAGAGGGGAAGTAGCACCCGGAAGTATATCGGGAGCTGCGCTCCAGCGCCGGTGGAGAAACAACCTCAATACGTTGACTGAAAATTATCCATAGCAGATTTAATCACCAATAATGCACGGCGGTCAAACACCCTAAGAGAGATGATGCTGGACAAAACTGTAGCAAAAACACTTGCACAACACGGAAACACACAAACACAGGTGACAGATAAAAGCGTCCCAACCACAAACTTCATGCACTCACTCCTTAAAGCAGCTGTTGCTGTAATCTGGCATCATATCAATGTTTACACTCCCAGCATGCAGTGCAGGGAGCAGAGGACAGATTCCTATAACTGGAACTCAGTTACATGATAACATAGTTTGTTCCACCTTTGAATATTTGTCTCACCAAAGACTTGTGGTCGGTCCTTAGTCGGTCTCGCAGGTTCTTCAGAGTGTTCCTGAAGCCTCTCGACTTTTGTTTCTCTGGTTTGCTTGAAGGCTGAGGATCCTTGTGAATCTGAACACTTCCTCTCTTCAGCAGAAAACAGACGGCAAATCTGAGCACACTTATGAAATGAGGCCATGTGACAGCGCTGCTACTTCAGCTCTGCGTCACATTCTGCAACTACATATTAACTGTAAGTAATTTGGAACAATCTGCTGTGTTGTACATGAAGTGGTTACCCATGAGCTGCTTTCTTTCTTTCTAACATCCCCTTTCTTCTCCTCTTCCTCCTCCTCTTCACTTTCACTGTTGTTGATGAAGCAGAGCTGGAGATTCATCCGTGTCTGCAGGCTGAGGGTTAGACACCAGTCAGTGGACCACCATGAACACATATCCAATCTGACATCACAGCTGGTTGCTTAGCATCTAGCTAGCAGCACAAAAGAGGAGCGAACATAAAAGGAGTAATAATTTTTTTAAAGTGTGGGGTGATTCCAAATGCAACATTTCTATCAGCTCAACAAAAATCATCAACACACAACCTGTGTGTGCAGTTTGTGTGTTGATGAGCTGAGACAGAAAAGAAAAAGCCGACTTCACTCAGAGATGAGAAAGATAAAGACGGGACAGGAACAGCTGACTGCTCAGTGGGATTTGATACACTGCACATTTAACGCTTGTTCTCATGTTTTCAAATAATAATTTCATTGTACATGTACAGTGACAATAGAAGCTATTCTATTCCATTTTATTCTAAACCACATGGTGTGTTTGTGACGTTATTTGTTTCATGCTGCAAATCAAACTGAGGCAGACTAACTGTGGCCATCGAGTATAAAGGCAGCATGAACAGTGCGCTGTCAGTGTGGAGGAGAAGAGCAACTCATGAAACATCTGCTCACATCTGGCTGAATTCACATGCAGAAATCTGCAAAGAGCAGCAGGTCAGCTGATCAGAACCTGTACATTAAGAAAATCTGTTGGAGCTCACGTTAGAAATTACTGTGAGCGGTGCTTCGTTTCCCCACATGAGCCATCAAAGCTCATTTTAGAGAGTTCCCCACTTTAACCTGCCCTGTACTCACTTTCCTGTTTAGAGGTAAAGTCTCCCTCTCCAACGTGACCAAACGAAAACAGAGCTTAACTTTTGTTGTTAATAAATTCCTTCATTTTGTCTTTAAGATCGGCCATGCAGTATGAGGAAAGCATGGTTGCAGCTCATACTGCACCAGAATCTCCACCCAAAAGACTTTGACTGTGTGCAAACTGGAACTTGCAACAGATGCGAGCAGACTGCAGCGACCGCACACTGAGAGACAAACACGGTGTTAACAGACATCCAGTAAGAAATAAGAGGCGCGCCTGTACCGAGAGGTCAGTGCCAGCACGTGACTATTGCAGGCGTCGTCGCCGTCCTCCCAGCTCTCCGTTCTCCTCCCTCGCTCCTCTTTCCAGCTGACTGGGGCTCCTCCTTGCTCCAGAGAAAGGCCAGTCTGACAAGCACAGCAGCCACATGTTAAAACCATTTCAACAAACCGCGTTACATCGGTAAATATCACTGAACAGGTCTGATCAGCCTACGAGTGAAACTGTACACAAACACCATCTTTCAGCAAGACAGAACAACATCTGACCTTTAACCTCTTCTCCTTCTTCTCTTCTTCCTGCTTCTCAAGCTCGGCAATACGCAGGCTCAGGGCCTCCCAGTGCATGATGGGAAGGCCCAGATTGTCCTCGCTGTAGCGTTCCTGCCAGACCAGCGCTGCCCCCACCAAGTCTTCCCCATCTTCCTCGACCTTGTCTTTGTCGTCGTCACACTTGCCGTAATCATCTGCTTCGTTGCTCTCCTTCTCATCCCGATGTTGTCTCAGTCGTTCCTTCTCTCCCTCCATCTGGACAGCAGGGAAGCACTGGGTTAAAATGCTCGCAGCTTTACATCAGACCGCCTGCTTCAATCACATCCTGATGAATGAAATATTCATCTTCACTGGGATCCCAGTGAAGATTGCATGTAGTCACAATTATAAAACTCAGCCTCTCTACCATAGTTTGCCTTTTGTGGCATCTCTTTCTGACCCAACCAGCCAATCACATGGCCAACCACAACCAGATGGCCCCTCCCCTTCCTGAGCCTCGTCCTGCCAGAGGTTTCTTCCTGTTAAAAGGCAGTTTTTCCTTCTTACTGTCACCAAGTGCTTGTTCATAGATCATCATCTGATTGTTAGATCATAGGCTGTACAATGAGGCACTTAGGAAGGCCTGTCATTAACAGTCTGCAATCAACAGACAACTTCATGAAAGGAAGTACAGAAGCTTCATAACAAGGTGGAACCCACTGGTTACGCTGAAGGATGGGAAGCCTGGGGAACGCCGCAACGTGCCCAGTTCTGGAAAAGATTATTGTAAGTGGACAGAGGAGGCGAAAATGAACGTGCACCAGAATGTTGGGAGCACATCTGTGTAGCTCAGACTGAGCAGGCAAACAAGGCTCAGTGCAGCAGCCTGAGGCCCTTTGCTGGCGTCTTCTTCTCGCTCTCTCCTTCCTGTCACTAGTGATGGGACGTTCTGTATCGAGGCTTCGGAGCGTGTGTCGAGTAATGGAGGGGGCGTTTCCGCGAAGCGCGTATCGAGGCTTGCTTCATTTATGGGAGGAGCTGAAAATGATGACGTCCGAAGCCTCGCTGCCCGGCTGTACCACGTGACTGGTTCATGAAGTGGTTCGAACTTTGCCGCGAGATATGACAGCGATATAAACCCCTCAGACTTCATTCAAAAATGTGGGTGTTTGATGGAGAGTTGCGGTTAGTGAGAGTTTGGAGACCGTTTGGAGGTTTATGAGAGTGAGGAGAGAAAGTCAGGAGAGAATGGAGCCAGCTAAGAAGAGGAGGATGTCCTCCCCTGTGTGGGAACATTTTGATCTTATTCCTCCCAACAAGGTATGTACATTTCTACAGAAGATGTATTTTCATGATACTGATGGTGCAATACAATTTATGTTGAGCTGTCTTGACTTTTGTACAAGGTGAAGTGTTTGCTATGTGCCAGGGAGCTGGGATATAACAACAACACCTCATCCATGCTTAGGCACTACAGAGCTTTGCATGAGAATAAGGGGAACACCGATTGTGGAGCAAGACCAGGTGAGCCATCAAATGCAATGATAATATAGCATGCAGTAATGTTACTAAATGATATAACAATATTATACAACTGTTATAAGTTACGTGTGTGATATTTATATTTGTGCTTTATCTTTATTGTCTTTCCTCAGGAGAACAATCTCAAATAGATGAAGACCTGGTCAGCATGGTGATTGAGGACTCCCAGCCATTTAGCATTGTGGAGGACAAAGGATTCAAAAGATTTGTTAAATCATTAAATCCTAGCTATGTTCTCCCCACTAAAAAGGTCATAAAAGCAGTGAAAATTTAGTTTTTACAGAATAAAATGTGAACAGGCAGGACTGAGGCTCAAAGCCTCAGTGTGTAGCTGTCCATACCTCAACGTTACAAAAGCACAACTACTGTCCACACCCCAACCACACCTCACCTCACAGTAAATGATCATTTCCATTTCAAGCATTTCCAAATAATCATTTCCCATACTGCCACTATAAATATACACAGTATACTGCCATCACTACAATATACATGTTTTACACACTCCTTTTGTTGTTGACATTTACAGGCTGTGTGCAAAATGCCACACTCTTCAAATTCATGCCAGCTATTATTTTTACGTCCAGTAGGTGTCCTGCTAGAGCAAATGAAGCTTCATGAAGCTTCGCGTTGGGGTGAACCAATTGGATGAAAAGCTTCAGTGCTTCATGGGGCTTCATCTGCCCATCACTACCTGTCACCTCTTCACTGTATTAGCTAATAAACAACAGGAAGATGCAGTGTTTGGGTCTATCTACGAGCTCTCTTCTTAAGCAGTGACTGCAGAGGATTAAAGAAACACTAACATTAAAATCATCTTCGTTTGTCCGGGATTACAAAACAGCTATAATTCCTACATTATTAGTGAAATACTTTTTAAACCCTTTGAATTCAATCACACATCAATCGTTTGCTTTCAGATCTACGGTGTTGTGAACAGAAACAAGTTTAAAATAAACGTATCATTGCCAAATACGAATCGAGCTAATTGTATAACCGGTATGAGCAGTTAAATATTCAAAAATCGGGACTTTTTAAAAAAAGGAAAACGTGAGCAACAGAAACAGGACGTTTTCTGAGGAGCACCGAAACACTCAGGGTGCAGCCACGGTTTGTTCCGGAAAACAAGACAACATGTGGGAGAAGTTTGTTTAAATAAATAAACAGCAGTAATGTGAGGTACTGTACTGCTGCATTACAGAGACCTCCCGCAGCAGGGCCTGACTGTCCTCAGGTTTAACTCACTGGAGGAACTTCCACAGCCTAGCTTGAAGCTTCGGCCCTTCCTCTGAAACTTTTCCCCCGCGTGGATTCAAAGTTTGGAGGAAACATCAGACCAGTTCACCGTGTCAGGCCCACTGCGATTCCAACTCACCACTTTTTCGAAATAAAGGCGGCTCTGCTGCTTTCACGGACGGAGAAGTTCTTCAGAGATTTGCCACATAGCTCAGCTCCGTCCTCGGCTCCTCCTAGTCATCTTCCCTCTCTTTCCATTAGGAGCTTCGTCCCTCTGCCTTTTCACCGAGAACTCCTCGTTGTGTCCACAGACGCTTCCTCCTCCTCACTCAGCTGATGTTATTAACTTCTGGTTTATTTCATGCCATATACCCACTTTCTCCCGGTCCAAACCCACGAACAAAGGAATCCCTTGAGAAACTTTCCTGCAGAGGTCCACTTTGGAATTAGGGGTTAACTTCCTGTCGATGCCTTCAAAATAAGTGTACACACAGCCAAAGGTGGGAGGAGGAGACAAGCTGAGGATTCCAACAAAGCTACAGCTGGCGCTGTGAGCGGGCGATAAAACTGTTTCTTATTTTTTTCCTTCAAAATATCTTGGTCAAATGAGCTTGCAAAGAAAAGCGTCTGGACTTCTTTAAGTTGCTTGAAGACGTTTCACCTCTCATCCGAGAAGCTTCTTCAGTTCTAAGGTCAAATGGTGGAGAGTCCCAGATTTTAAGCTCTATGGGAGTGTCCTTAAGAGGGTCATGGGTGTGGGTCACAATCAGCCAGGGTTTCGGGTGGGGTGACCTGGCCCCACCTTATCATGCGATTTCTGCGATTTTTAACTGCTGTAAACCCTGACTGCCACCTTCTGTCTGGCAACTCCCAGGGCTCATCACAGGTGAAGGAAACGAAGATTAGACAAAATCAAGAATAAGAAATGAATTGGTGTAAATACATAGATAAACTAAATGTGCGTGCTTACAAATAGAACAAATGTATCCAAACCAATCAATAAACTTTCTGCAAACTAAAGTGTGTTATTTAAATCAAAAATAACGAATACATAAGAGTTACTGACTTTTAGAGTGTGGCCATGGCTTTGACCATCACAGTAACACAGAGACACACAAGTATTCACATCCACACCTAGGGCCAATTTAGAACTGCCAGGTAACCTAATCTCCATTCATGTTTTTGGACTGTAGGAGGAAGTCAGAGTGCTCAAGAGAAAACCCTCGCAAGATGGGGGAGAACATGCAAGCTCCATAGAAGGCCCCAGTCAGCTAATGGATTTGTACTCAGGACCCTCTTGATGCATGTTCAATCATCCAGGTAAGCAAATCCACAACAGCTGATTCTGTTCATCTGGATGTTTTCAGTGGGAGAAACGTCTCAGGACCTTCTTGCTGTGATGGGACAGTGCTAAGCACCACAATCGGTTACTGCTAACATTTCGGTAGCCCTTGATTAATTCCATTGAATCGTAAGAATAGCTTCTTCTGTGTGAAAACTAAACGTGGATCCTGTGTTTTGCAGGAAGGTGAATAATAGGCCATTTTATTATGGGCTCTGACAGTGGACTCATCTGTGCTAGTCCTCAGCACTGTTGACTTAGTATTTTATTACAGAGATTAGGCCATACCTACGAATTAAAGGTTGGTTGCTGCAGTGGTTTAAATCATATCTACCTGATGGAGACCAATTTGTTAATGGAAACACACTCAGGTTAATTATGGTGTTCCACAGCATAATGAACCTGTTTACAGTATACACATTTCCCTCAGGCAATGTGAAGGCATAGCATACATGTTCATTAATGTGAAAGCTCCATACCACATAGCAGTTATTTAAACTGCATTAAGGTCTTAAAGACATGAAAACCTGGATGAGCTCTAATTTTGTGCTTCTAAATTCAGATCAAACTGAGGTTATTGTACTGGGCCCTAAAAATCTTGCAAATATAATCTCTAACCACACGTGTGTTTTCAGCCATCCAGGTCATGGTGGTCTAAGGAGCTTGGAAATAAAAGCGTCTGGACTTCTTTAAGGTCTGTGAAGACATTTCACCTCTCATCCAAGAAGCTTCTTCAGTTCTTCGAGCAATTGGTGGAGAGTCCCAGATTTAAGCCCTATGGGAGTGTCCCTAAGAGGGTCATGGACCCCCTGTTGATCCTCTGTTTGTTTTTTGTTTTGTTCCCCTCCCTCAGCCTGGTCTGCCACATGATTCTTCATGTTACAATCGAGTTTTGCTTTTCTCCAAGTGCTTGCTCATCAGGGGTTGTTGGTGTTGTCTCTGGATCATTGTTGGCCTCACAATATGAAGCACATTAGATGGACTGCTGTTGTTATTTGGTGCTGTAAAAATTAGATTGAATTGAATCTGAGGATTAGGACAGTGTGTGATATTATTGTATCTCAATGGCTAATAAGCCCATGTGTTTTCAGTGTGTGGCAGCACACAGTGGCACACTGACCAATCACAGTTGAGGTTGTCACAGCTGAACATTTTTAAGACACTTTATGACATTACTGTAGAACTTTGGGATAAACCCACAGTGCATAGCTTCACCTGATGTGCTGCCTCGCGCCCTGGAAATGGTAAAATTGTTGTGCGAGGTAATCTTTGCTAATAATAGTAGATCATCTTTATTCTTAATCAAAGTATAAGTCTTT